TCTATGAGGAAATGACTCTACTTCTCTGTAGTGACCAGCAGTGGGGGACTCCTCTGCTCCCATAGACGTCTATGAGGAAATGACTCTACTTCTCTGTAGTGACCAGCAGGGGGCGACTCCTCTGCTCCCATAGACGTCTATGAGGAAATGACTCTACTTCTCTGTAGTGACCAGCAGGGGGCGACTCCTCTGCTCCCATAGACGTCTATGAGGAAATGACTCTACTTCTCTGTAGTGACCAGCAGGGGGCGACTCCTCTGCTCCCATAGACGTCTATGAGGAAATGACTCTACTTCTCTGTAGTGACCAGCAGGGGGCGACTCCTCTGCTCCCATAGACGTCTATGAGGAAATGACTCTACTTCTCTGTAGTGACCAGCAGGGGGCGACTCCTCTGCTCCCATAGACGTCTATGAGGAAATGACTCTACTTCTCTGTAGTGACCAGCAGGGGGCGACTCCTCTGCTCCCATAGACGTCTATGAGGAAATGACTCTACTTCTCTCTGGATTTATTCCCTCAGTAAACACTGTAAACATGAGTTTATGTCTCAGTCTCTAGTTTCAATGTTCATTTAGTGAACTATGGACCATTTAAAGTCAAACAGACCATAAAGCAGATGATGCTTTAGGGCGGAGCTACACGCTGATTGACAGGTGTCTAAATTTGCTCTAAATCGCCAGTTTTTAGGGTGAATCCTGAGCGACAGGTTTAAGGGGTGAGTCCAGTCGAGACACACACAGACACACGCACACATGTACACACACACAGACACACACACACACAGACACACACACACACACACACACACACGCTGTTAAAAGTAACCCTTCCATTAGAAAGAACACAGGACCCAGAACTGAACAATGTCACTGATATCTGGGTTGAGCACACACACTCCCACATACACACACATACACACTCCATACCACACACACCCACACACACCCACACACATACACACTCCATACCACACACACCCACACACACCCACACACACCCACACAGAGGAGGGCGACAGGCAGCCAAGTTATGAGCCGACCAATGAGCAAACAGGAAACCTTTGGGGACTTTCCAACGTTCACAAAACGTTTTCCTTTTGGCTCCATTTAGTTTGATGTCAGATTTACTCTGAGGGGGTTTAGGTTGACGTGTTTGTGCGTGCGTGTGTGTGTGTGTGCGCGTGTGTTCTCGTATCCAAGGCGTTTACATGTCTATGCGTGAGTGAACGTGTTTTGGAGCCCGTGGGTCTGTGTGTGTGTGTGTGTGCGTGTGTGTGTGTGCGTGTGCGCGTATGTGCGCGTATGTGCGCGTGTGCGTGCGTGTGTGCGTGTGTGTGTGTGTGTGCGTGTGCGCGTGTGCGTGCGTGTGTGTGTGTGTGTGTGTGTGTGCGCAGCTTTAGCTTTAAACATGTCAAAGTATTTGGACGTAAGACGGACTCGATACCTGTTTGTCTACATGTTTGTTTACCTGCTTTGTGTTTGTTGTTGACGTGGTGATCACATTTTGGGGGCGTGTCCAGACCCTTGGATCGGTGGTCCAACATCTGGAGGACAGAGGCGTCTCCCATTAATGCTCGTTAGGAGGCGTCATGGGCCACGCGTGTGTGTAACATGCAGAATGTGTCCTCGTGTAGTTCATGGCCCACATTGTGGGTCCTTCTCTGTCCTCTCTCCCCCTATTTTTATTTCATAATTGCCTTCCTGCCCCCGCGGCCCCCCGCGGCCCCCCGGCCCGTCAGGAAGGAGTGAACAATATGACCTTTAGTCTCAGCGATAACATTCTCCCACATGAATTCCCTTCACATTCTCACCGCTTAGTTTCACTCTGTTTTGCTTAGAAATGATCAGCCTGTGATTAACGGGGGGGGGGGGCCCCTGGGGAGGGAGGGGGGGGGGGGGGACGGAAGTGTCTCGCCGCTGCTGCTCTTGTTGCTGCTGTCAATCAAAAGAGTTTAAATATTCAACCCTTCAAAAAAAGACGTGAGAGCGACTTCATGTCTTCAGACTTGTGGTTTCATTTACATCCTGCAGGATGTTTAACGGCGGCTGACGAACCTGCGGGAGGAACGAAGAAGGTCGGCTCACCTTCACCTTCACCTTCATCTTCATCACATCACATCACGCTGCATCAAGAGAAAAAAGCATCTTTTTCTTGCTCCTCTGGAGGGACAAAGAGGTGTTTCCTCCTAAATCCTGCTGGTGACCTGATCGGTGCGTCTGTTGTGCGTCTGTTGTGCGTCTGCAGACTTGACTTGAAGGAGCAGGAAGCCACATCTTTGGTGAGGAAGCTCTCGATCTGCTGCTCAGACACCAGGAGAATGTTTGGGATACATCTTCTCCCCCGTCATGCTTTTTATTTCATTATATACATATAATATATATATTTATATATTATAAATATATATATATATATATTTTATATGTTGGAGGCGTTCATAAATCTCTCAGATAAAATGAGAAACGCCATAAATAACACAACAGCAGATGTGCTGATTGGCGCCATCTGCTGTGTCAAACCTTTATTCTGAAATTACAAGTCAAACAAATTAAATCATAATTGCATTTATTTATTAGCATTTTGTACTGTAAATAAACAATAAATAATAGTATATAATTTTATATATGAAGGAATTAGGGATCATTTACAAATGAATACATTAAACTCATTCTGCTTCCTATTAGTAGTTATTAGTAATTAGAGATGAAGTTTATTTCCTTAAATAGAAATTGACAGGAAAAGAAGAAACATCTTAATGGGTCATAAAAGCTTTAATTTCATAAATAAATGACAAAATAGTGAATTGTGAATGTTACAGTGTGCAGAGATACAGCAGATAAACCCTGTGACATCAGTTCTGATTATTAATCATATTTCATATCTCATTTCCTGTGAGGTCACATGACCACCACAGCGACGCGGACAGGAAGTCACGGTGTCACGTGACGGTTCTACATTCCTCCACCAAAATGATTCGTTTACTAAATAATGTTTCCTCTGATCATCGATTCACCGTTTGATCTTCAACACGTCAGAAACCCCCGAAATGATGAAGGTCACTCAATCGCTCGATCAAACTAATCACACGTTTGCATTTTTATCCCAAAGAGAAATTCTAACTTTTGTATCTGCTGTAAAAAAGTTTCATGTTTTGTAAATATTTCATCATGTTTACTACAAACATTCAGTGTTCATCAACACTGAAGAGCTGCGAGGACGTCACATCCCGTTTGGTTTGATTTCATTCTGACGTTCAATTCATTTAGTTTATTGTGACTAAACAATCTCTATTAAAATGGCCGCCGGACCCGACGAATGCTGATATGTAACATTCCTCCTCGTCATCATCTTCATCATCATCCTCCTCATCATCATCCTCCTCATCATCATCCTCCTCATCCTCCTCAGCACGTCATCAGAGTCACTCTCAAACATACAATATTGCACAATCCAGTGAGTGAACACAGCTGTGAACTCTGGCCCACTTGTACCACACACACACACACACACACACACACACACACACACACACAGAGACACACACACACACAGAGACACACACACACACACACACACACAGAGACACACAGAGACACACACACACACACACACAGACACACACACACACACACACACACACACAGAGACACACACACACACACACACACACACAGAGGCCAGTTAGGGTTAGTGTGTGTTTGTGTGTCTCTGTGCATCTTAAAGGAGCAAACGTTTTCATTAGAAGAATATTTGAGGCTCTTCTTTTCTTTTTTGGTTAAAAAAAAATAACCTGGAGTTTGTTTTCTTTATTTTAAAAGATCAGACGTTTTAATCTGGATTTATTTCCCCAGTTTTAATGCAGGCGTGTGATTTGATTTAGTTCAGAATGTGCATCTTAAAAGTGTGAACAACCAGCATTCTGTGTAGTTCTTTAATCCCGTGGATTAGGATTAAACGCTGTTTGAGATCAGCGTCACTTTCTTTTGTTCGATCGTGTTTTGGTTTTATACTTCGGTGGACAGGAAGTGTCGTTGTAGCCCGACAGGAAGTCACGGATTCTTAATCTGGATTTGGGATCATTGCAGTAAATAAAAGGTGTTTGTTTCATCGAGATAATCTTCCCTGAGGGGCTGACGCTCGGCCACCACGGTCACATGACTTCACTGACCTGTGTATGAATCACATGACATGCGAGGGGAGGGAACAGGAAGTGACATCACGAGTCCTCAGGACTCGTCAAAGCTTTGAATTGGATCATCTGCTCCGCCTACAGGTTCTGGTCCAGCCAGCGGACGTAGCCGTTGATGCTCCTCCGCCCGACGGCGGACGCCACGGGGGGGAAGGCGAACACCATGCAGCCGTGGAACCCGTCCTCGTAGTGGTCGCTGGTCACCGCCACGCCGGCGTCCCGCAGCCGCCTGGCGTACATCAACCCGTCGTCCCGCAGCACGTCGAACTCGCAGGTCATCACGTAGGCTTTGGGCGTCGCGCTCAGCACGGCGCTCTCCGCCAGCAGCGGCGCCGCCCGGGGGTCCGTCAGCCCCGGCAACGCGCCCGCCGCGCCTCCTTCCCTCACCACGGGCCGGAAGTGCTTCCTGCGCTCCGCCGGCAGCAGCGCGGTCCAGTCCAGCTTGGCGCGCTGGTCCAGGGCGCTGTGGTTGTTGGCGAGCAGGAGGGGCTCCAGGGAGGCGTCGGCGCCCAGGTACTGCAGCCAGAAGCGGGCCATGAGGGGCCGGTGGAGGATGGGCACGGCCTGGTTCTGCTGGTAGGACGCGGTGTGGAAGTCCAGCGCCTGCAGCACCGGGTAGATCAGCGCCTGCAGCTTGAACCTCGGCGCCGCGCCGCGGTCCGAGCCGAGCTGTGGGAGGCAAGCAGCCGATTAGGACGACCGGGACCGACCCGGCAACAGGTGAACCTTCCTCGCCGCCGTACCTCTTGGGCCACCGCGGCGGCCAGGTTCCCCCCGGCGCTGTCCCCGGACACGCACAGCCTCTGCGGGTCCACGCCGTAGCGCTCCAGGACCGGAGCTGACAGGAAGGCCCGCGCCGCCGCCAGCGCGTCGTGGTACTGATCCGGAAACACCGCCTCCGGGGCCAGGCGGTAGCTATGGCAACGGGAGCGGAAGACAGCAACGGGACGTTACGTGATTCCAGATTTTATGCCCGAGGCGTCTTAAATTCTAACGAAGAGCGTGTTCGGATGTAAACGATATTCTCACAGCTCGGATTATTCTTCACATAATAAACAATAACAAACAGATGGTGTGAACTCACTCCACCGACACGACCACGCAGTCCAGGTCCTCCGCCATTTTCCTGCAGAGACGGTCATATGACCGCATCCCTGTGGAGCACACAGGAGATTATGTCAACAACAACAGTCAGATTATGTCAATAACAACAAATAGTGAGATTATGTCAACAACAACAAATACTGAGATTATGTCAACAACAACAAATACTGAGATTATGTCAACAACAACAGATAGTCAATTATGTCAATAACAACAAATAGTGAGATTATGTCAACAACAATATGCAGTGAGATTATGTCAACAACAACAAATACTGAGATTATGTCAACAACAAATAGTCAGATTATGTCAATAACAACAAATAGTTTGAGATTATTAGAGATTATGTCAACGACAATATACAGTGAGATTGTGTCAACAACAACAAATAGTGAGATTATGTCAACAAATACTGAGATTATGTCAATAACAACAAATACTGAGATTGTCAACAACAACAATTTCAATTATGTCAATAACAACAGTTAGTCAGATTATGTCAATAACAACAAATACTGAGATTGTCAACAACAACAATGTCAATTATGTCAATAACAACAGTTAGTCAGATTATGTCAATAACAAATACTGAGATTATGTCAACAAAAACAAGGGGTTATTCATGAAATTGGCTTTAATAAATACTCACGTCCGCTGCCCAGCGCCCACCCTCCCCCGTGGAAGTATACGACCCCCCTCTTCAGCCGCCTGCCCCCCTTCGGCTGGAAGACTCGGGCCGGCACGCCGCCCAGCTGGGAGTCGGTCACGTGCACGGCGGAGCAGGATCGAGCCTCCACCTCCTCCACCCAGGACACCACCCGGTTCAGCAGGTGCACCCGGTGGCACACGCCCAGCGCGTGAGCCACGTCGCTCTGCGGGGCAAACAGGTAAATGAGGAGGAGGTTTGTCGCGATCTTGATGTTAATCAAACGATCCTCGATACGAAGCAGATGAGCTCATCTCTCCTCTGACAAAGTCGTTTAAGTGAGCCGGAGAATTCTTCCACTTTTACAAAATAACATTTATTAGATTAATAGACATTGGAATAGTTTGGAAATATTCTTGTTTGAGTAAAATAAAAACATTGGAATAAAATGAATTTGCATAAAAAATTCAAATGAAAAAAACATTATAATAAATGTTAAAACAAACATGGCAGCGGGCGTGTAAACCCGTCCTGCTCGTCGAGTAGAAACTTCAGTAGAAAAGCATGACGTCATCGGGTGTGTGTGCGTGAGCGGCCAAACACGTTATACACAGCAGCAGGGTCAAAGGTCACGCACTCTGCTGTGATCACCAGACCTTTAATAGTCCCCCGAGTTACACTTCTGTGTGTGTGTGTGTGTGTGTGTGTGTGTGTGTGTGTGTGTGTGTGTGTGTGTACTGCCTATAGAGACATAATAGTGTGTTCTACTCTCGGGTGGTGTAGTGTGGTACAAAGCACAGGATTCTACTGTCTATTCGATCGAGTTGCATCCTGTATGTTATGTATTATATTTCTACTGTTACATTCTATTCTGCTTTCATATAACATGTTACGGGTTATTGATTCTATTCTGCACTATTGTGTTGACGTCAAACTCTGCTCTCTTTGAATTGTGTCCACTCCGCTTTTTGTGTTTTCTTATAATGAATTCCTCCGTAGTGCTCCTCTCCTAGTGTTGTTCTTGTCTCTCATGATGTGAACATCAACCTGTCCTCCTCCTCCTCCTCACCGCCTGAATGAAGCTCCGGAACAGCGCGTCCAGCAGCATCAGCTTGACGGGCTCGCAGACCCCTCCGGGCAGCGGGAGGTAGACGTAGTACGCGGCCGCTGAGAGCAGCGCGGCGCCGGCCAGAAGGAGCCTCATCGCGGGCCGAACTTCTTCTTTCTCCGCCGGTTGAAGGCGACCGGAAGCTCCGCACGGGAACCGACGGACGCGGAGGAATGACACCGCCTCCAGAATAAAATCTGAGATTACATTTTCCACTCAGTGACACGACGACAATGCGGACAACATGCGAGGAGTGTCTTATTTTGAAGTCTTTTCTCAGGAAGTCGGGTGGGCCTTGCGTAATGTGGCTGCTGATGGGATATGTAGTTTTTTGTACGTTCGGACTAGACAAGGCCAATGTGTGTATGTGTAAATATTATTATCAAATTATTATAATATCTATTATTTGTATTATAATTCTCCAATATTTCTTAATACTACTAATGTATTTTCATTAGTTAATTTACAAAAAAAAAATTAATCAATTGTCCGGTAAAGAAAACATGAAATTAACGTCTCTGTGAATCCCATTTTGTATTAAATTCAAAGCTTTAAAAGTCAAACAATAAGCCTGTATTCGTCTGAGTTATTATTCATGGGTGTGAAACAAGATGTGGAGCTCTAATCTGGTGCAGCAGAGAACATGATTTCACTGTGACTTTCTTCTGCCCTCTTCTGGATCTTTACTGACGCAGTAGTTTTATCTCCTGTTGAATGAAGTTTGGCTGAATTAACACACAATGATGAAGCTGAGCACCTTTTCCCACCTTGTTCAGGAATGACATGCAAAAAGTCTTTCCTTGTTTCCCATAATGCAATGGCTCTCCTGTCAGACGATTGGCTCTACTTGCCTTCAACTGCTCACACCTGAGTCCAGTTAGTCAGCAGGGTGAGAGGGGGGGTGTTAAAGAAAGCTCTCCTCGGACACTCCCTGGTTTTAAATCTGCTTCAGTTGTGTGTTTTCGTGGAGTTGACGGAAGTGCTTGTGTTTGCTGCTTCACTAAGCGGCTTCTAACTGGCTGAAGCCATGGAGTTTCTCTTGAGGTAAGTGTCTACGTGTAGTCTCTTAAATGGTTGAGTCGTGGTAACTGAGATGTCTCGCCTAGGTGGTTTCTGCTGTCCTTGACGGCTGTTGGAGGACGTCAAGCTCATGGTGAGTTAGTGAAGTAGAGCAGCTCCTCCATTGGTCGTCTGTGTGGACCAACATGTCTGCTCTACAGGTTTCAGCATTGGATATGCTGAGAAGCATGGCGGCAATGAAGTGCCAGTTGCAGGCTATCGACCATATTTAAATGGCTTTAAATCTGGAGACAGATCTTCGTGGAGGACTTGGCCTCGTGGTGGTGGTTCAACCTCAAATACATTTGAGGCAAGTAGATACAACACAACAAATAGCAAAGACTTAATCGGTCTGTGCCAGAAACTCTGTATTCATAATATTATCCTCAACAGCCACACATGGCAGAGACACATGGATATCTGCCTAAGCAACAGAAGCTCCAGATCTCCCATCAACCTAGCTATCATCCACAGCAGCAGCAGCAGCAGCAGCAACAACAACAACTTGGCTATGTTGCCCAGCAGCAGCAGCAACAACAGCAGCAGCAGCAGCAGCAGCAGCAGCAGCAGCAGCAACAACTTGGATATTCTTCGCAGCAGCAGCAGCAGCAACAACAACTTGGCTATCCGGGCCAGCAACAGCAACAACAACCACCAGGCTATCCGGGCCAGCAACAGCAACAGCAACCACCAGGCTATCCGGGCCAGCAACAGCAACAGCAACCACCGGGCTATCCTGGCCAGCAGCAACAGCGACGAGATGGCCAACAGCAAGCACCTCGCTATCCCGCCCCGGTCCCCCAGCAAGCACCTCGCTATCCCGCCCCGGTCCCCCAGCAAGCGCCCCGCTATCCCGCCCCGGTCCCCCAGCAAGCGCCCCGCTATCCCGCCCCGGTCCCCCATCAAGCGTAAAAATCTCCCGCATCCTGGCTGTCCCTATTTGAAAAAACTGCAGTATCCTCGGGGTCACCATTACAATTGGAGGCCTCATTCTCAGGAGCACCATCAGACTTCCATGGCTCCTGGCTATACTCTCCTGCAGGCAGCACATGGCTCTTGGGCATAAGGCTCTGGGGTATCCCCTTCCGCATGGGCAACGAGCTCAGGAGGATAAGGCTCTTGGCTATCCTCTCCTGCAGGTAGCATCTGCCGCAGGGGGACCAGGTTCTTGGGTATCTTCTCCTGCAGGAGCATCGGGCGCAGGGGCATCTGGGACTCGAGGATCCTATCCTGCAGGAGCATCAGCGGCCTCAGGAGCCCATGGCTCCTGAGTATCCTCCCCCTGCAGGAAGCAGCAGCATCCTTATTATTCGTCCCCTGGAGCCCATGGATCCTGAGGTATCATCTGCTGCAGGAGCACCAGCGGCTCCAGGAGCACCCTGCCTCCGAGCAATCCGCTCCTGCA